GTGGGCCGGCCATATAGCTCGAAGAACCGACCACCGTTGAGGAAGAAAGGTTCTCGAGTGGCAGCCTCGTACCGGTAGGCGAAGTGTAGGGCGTCCCCCCACGAGATGGAGTGATGACCTGGTAAGACATGCAGGAAGTCGATGGATGCAGGTGGCTCAGGACCGTGCTTTGTGGCATTCTTTGGGGGAGGCCTATGTTCAGCAGTGGACTTGTGAAGGGCTGTAATGATGATGATGATGACATTGAAGTATATATATATATGATGAGATAATGTCCTTATGTTTCCTAACAATTTTTTTTTGCTTTATAGTGTTCGGAATGTAAATCAATACAAACATAAACTTAGATCTCACGCTATTTGTATTGCAATAAATATAAGAAAAAATAAATCGATTAGAATTATTATTTAGTATAGATACTACAATATTTATTAACTTTATTCAGGTGGATCGTTCAGAATAAATGTATATATCTTGTAGGCTGAAATCTTACAGAGCTGCTCGTAGGCAGAGACAAAAAAGTATATGTACTTATATCATATCTCGTAACATTGAAAATATCCTTATGATTCCTAACAATATCATAAATGATCATGTTATTATCAAGTTATTTTGAAAAAAATCTTTTGAAATGATAATGACTGACAATAATAAATACAAGTTAATTAATTATACATGTGCATTTCTTATCCTTACACAATCAGTTTAAAACATCTTTCTTCATATTTATCCGTGTGTAATAACATAGATAAGCATAATATTAGCTAGTCATTTTGGCTTTAATGGTGTTTGAGGTATGATAACTAATCAGTTAATATAATTTTAAAACAAAGTTTACACACTGCACCTCTACTAATCAACCAAAACATATTAAAACAAAGTCTTGACACCGCACCTGTCTGTCTCTCTGTGCCACTATTAATAGACTGCTTTGGAAATAATTACAACAATAAATGCAGAGGTTTTAGCCTTATGCAACCAGTTTAAAACATCTTTCTTACTATATAGCATGTAAAGGTAATATCATAAATGGACATATTATCCGTTATTCATTTTGGCTTTAATCATTATTATTTAATTACTGTAATGGTGTTTGTGATGTATATCAACTAATCAATTAATACCTGTAAAAAATAGTCTCCACATCACGTTTGTTTGTCTGTGCACAATGTTTTGTCGGAACTGCTAAAAGGATTTTCCATCATTCTTAAAGTATCTATAATTGCTGAATGTACCTACAACTTTGTTTCAAACTGTTAATTATTAAGCTATTCTATTCTATATAAACTATATCGGTTAAAACTACTATAAAATCGCTTTTATTTGGTTTTAAGGTTATTGTGATATTCATATCTTAATTTTTAATTTCTCAGAATTCCGAATTTGCAATAAAACCGTTATTAATTTTGTAATCTACAGATTATAAGGAATAAGTCGACATACATTTCATTAAGTGTCCCTAAAATTCGTTGTGGGCCTATTCTCCAAAAGCAAATTGTCTCCTAAAAAGCTACTCAAGAATCATTACCTTGCACTTTAAATTGTACCTTCGCTATATATATATATATTGTTGAATTGTTCGGATTAATCCCAGCCGCCAAATTTCACTAACACACATCGCGGCAGAACTCCCGATACTATCCACACCACCACTGTGCGATTTAGAAGATCTTTTCTTCCTCGCACAACTTCCTTGTGGAATCAATTACTATCAGCGATTTTTCCGGACCGATACGACTTAGGGACCTTCAAGAAAAGAGCCTACTCCTTTATAAAAGGCCGGCAACGCATCTGCAATTCCCCTGGTTCCCCTGGTGTTGCAGTTGTTCATCGGCGGCGGTAGTCACTTATCATCAGATGAGCCGCATGTTCAATTGCCCTCGCTCCTAAAAAAATATGTGTATTCTTTTTTACGTCTTTTTAGGGTTCCGTACCTCAAAAGGAAAAAACGGAACCCTTATAGGATTACTTTGTTGTCCGTCTGTCTGTCTGTCTGTCTGTCAAGAACCTTTTTCTCAGGAACGCGTGGAGGTATCAAGCTGAAATTCATATCAAATACTCAAGTCTACTGTCCCTTAGAGCTGTAAAAAAATCAAACTTCTAAACCAACGCAATCAAAAGATACAGCCGTTTATGCCGTAAATTTTCGACATTCGCAAGGGAATCAAAACCTACAGGGTACTTCCCGTGAACTAGGAATCTTGAAATTTGGTACGAAGCAATGTTTTATAGCACAGATAAAGGAAAAATTGCGAAAAGCATAAATTTTTAGTTAAATCATAAAATAAAAACATTTTTAATAATTTTAAACTTATATATCTACAGATTTGTTCAGAACCCTCGGTGCACGAGTCCGACTCGCACTTTGCCGGTTTTTTTCTATCACACCACTTTTGCCTACCCTTGCCATTCATTGGTTGTCTGGAAGAAATAGCTGTCAGCAATAAGACCGCCCATTGCACACTTCTTTTGTATATATAATTTCTGTTTTTTTATGGTGTGCAATAAATAATATTTAATAAATAAATAAATAATATATAATTTTTTTCAAAGCTTGTCGATATTTTTAAGGTTTGTGCAGTCATGTCTATATTTTCAAGATTTGTGCGGTATGTATTTATCTTTTTACCAATCCATTTACGCAACATAAAACGAGGCGGTTATTACTTGACCAGTATCAAGAAGCTTTTAAACAACGATTTTGTTCTAACCTTATGCTATTAGCAGTATCCTCTTTCACTCATGAACATTCAACGCTACAATGGCTTCTCATCTTTTGTTGGATAGAAGCTTCACTAGTTTTGATCAAAAGATATGTCCAAGTCTCATACAAGGGAAGCACCCTGGTATACGTTATGCTGTACTAAGTTACACTAAACAGCTAATTAGTGACGTTCTTTTTGTCCTTAAGTTATTGTGTGTGGCACCCACTTACCATTTTTCAGATATAGAATTTCTCTCAAAATATTTCAAACTGAACTGATTGCAAAAACCAATTAGACGGAAATATGGCGCACAGAACAACTTTAATCTTCCCTTAGAAGCTCCTTAAAATCGTGTGTTCGGCTTCTAATCATTGGTGTCATTAGTTCATACTCCAACTTCAAACTGGTTCGTCATCTGAAACGTTACTTTTCATTTTCACTGTAAGCCTGTAGGTGCATTTAATGATCATGTTGCTTCTTAACAATATGACCGATTGATGTCATAAATTATATGTTTTGAATTGTTATCAGGAAGATGCTACTAATGGACCAAAATGACTCATATTTATAATAATTGTTGACTTAGTATTTATAAAGAGAACATAAATCTGATCACTTAATTAAAATAACTGATTATATCCGCTTTACCATGGATAATTGTGAACTAATTTCAACTATATGTCAACTTTAATTGTGTTGACTATTACATCTTGTTAGAAATTCTGAAATCCCTGTTCATTCCATGTTGAGCATCATCAGTTGTACAATGGTTCAGTTCCTTTCTTCAGGAACGACGGCAACGTATACGTATTGATTATAGCTTCTTCGATTGGTGTAATTTTGTTGCTGGTGTTCCTCAAGGCGGAGTTTTATCTCCATTGCTTTTTTCTGTGTTTATCAATGCACTTGTCTCCGTAATAAATTTCAGCACGTATCACCTGTACGCAGATGATGACCAGCTGTGTTAGCATTTTAGTTTAAATGGCCTAAATTTATCTGTGGACTGAATGAATTTTGATCTTGATGTAGTTCAACAGTGAGCGAGGTGTCATGGACTAATTTTAAACCCTGCCAAAACACATGTTATAATCATAGGGAGCTGGAAAATTACATGTCTACTTGATTACCAACATCTACCTAAGGTCACTCTAAACGGTGTAGATTTAGAATATGCTAAACGGTTAAAAACCTCGGCTTAATTTTGCCTGACGATCTCAGACGAAGAAGTAACACGATTACTAACAGACGCACAAACAAATATATATAATAAAGATTACACCTTAAATATATATATATATACCAGCTGACCAGGCAGACGTTGTTCTGCCCTTTTCGACGACCCTTCATATAAAAAATCCTTAGATTCGTAATAAAAAATATTGAGGGTCACTTTCTCAAGTTGGACCAAACTGCACACAGTATGCAAGATTTCATTGAAATCAGTTCAATACTTTAGGATTTCATCGCGGATATCGCGGTTCATCGTTTATATATGGGATTGTATAAATTTCTTTATACAATCCCATATATAAACGTGGTAGAGTAATCGTAATCTTTATTCGTTCATCCTTTATTCATCACAATCTGTCAGAAGTTCACTGTTGAACTTAGAACTTTCCTATAAATTATCTGAGTTTTCCGGTTTTTGATCACAATCTAATGATTTATTGTGAATTCCACGTGATAGAGCCATGTTGCACCTATATTAGTAGTATTGGCACGAATTATACACGAACATTAGCACGAATGGGTCGACTCGACCGGGGAAGGACCACGCTCTCACGGAATACCAGCGTAAAATAGCAGCTTAACGCTGCTGTGTTTCGTATGGTGAGTGTAGAGAACCGGAGATCCGTTTTACTGGAAAAGAGGCGTTCCATCTTAGTCCTCACGGGTCACAACGCATTTGAATTTTGATTCACAAACGAGGATAGATGTAGATGTCTATGAGCTTCAGCAACCACTTACCATCAGGTGGAGTGTGTGCTCGTTTGTCACCTTCATCCTATAAAAAAAACCTGATGAAATATATAACATTGTCCTGCAGACCGAATTTTGATCTCAGTTTCCAGTCTCAACGGAGCCTAGACATCTGAATAAGTCTAGAATATAGTGCATTTTTTTATTTGCCATTAAAATTGGACCTAATCAAAAGAATTTAAGGCTGTGAAAGGTCAGTGATGCTTGTTTCTCATTGTGGAAATAAAAAAGGCAAATTATTGTGCTATTTTTAGTAATAATCAAGAATACAGAAGATGTACAACAAAAAATATTAAAACTATTATTTAATTCAATTCATTGCAACTTCAGAACGATGCCCTCGTATCCAGCAACAGGTAGAGCGGACGCTTCGAACATATCACTGAAATCAAAATAAATACTTTTTTATCTTTGTTCTCTGTAAACGACATTGACAATTACCTCTTCAGTATCAATAATCGTTTTTGACAATTATAACAAAAGGAAAAAATTAAAATGGTTAATTACTGTAATGACTATACTATCTTTGAGTACAATAGCTTTGATAAACTTTTTTTGTATAAAAATAAATTAGCATAAAGTCAATCTAAAAGTTAGATAAAAATAAGAAGAAGTATATAATTAAACTTGATTATAAATAAAAATCCAGATGCGTTATCTCCCGCGAGGACTAAGACGAACTATGAATGTTGCATTACCATTTGGTTTTCTGATAAAGATTACTCAACTAAATTACTACTTCATGGGTTATAATCAAATGCTTCATATTTTCATTAAAGCAATACTGCTTAAAACAAATATAATTTATATTGAAATAATATTGTTTAGATGATTTTTTACTTTTATATTATTATTTTATTACTTTGTTTTTAATACATTCACACAATGATATATTATGCTCAATAAAATACTACAATAAATAGAATTAACATATTCAATTATTTAATATATAAATAATTATTCCTGTATGCTTTGTTAAAGTAAATAAAATCCCGTCAAATACTTCACAAACAATTAAAAGTAGCTCACCCCTCATTTTTCGGTGACTGGATGCTCCTGATAACAAATGAAACGTTGCCGGAAACGTTTTCGAAGTATGTCAAGTCAACGACGTATTCAGTGTTCCTCATATTCACAACTACCAGGTAAGTCTCCCCGTTATACCACCTTAAATACATGTAATAATTTTTGATTAAAATTAATTTTTGTGCAATTTATCGCAGTTAAATAATTTTAAATTTCTCGTCGTTTTGACTAATTACTCATTGTCACGAGAACACTAAAGAGCTTTTCACAGAATAAATTTAGAAAACAAAGTTAATTGTACGCGACAAAAGTGGCTAAACTTAATATTATTAATTGATTTTCATTTCATTACCGCCTATAAAAGTCCACTGCTGAACAAAGGCCTCCCCCATAGGTTATCTCATAGGCGGGTTTTGCCATAGTCGCCATGCTTAAAAACCGGGTTAGTAACCTTAGTTTTTTATTATATTGAGATGTTATCTAAATGTCGCAGCTGCGCATTCTCCTGTTCCAGTTTCCCTCCGTCGCCTCCCATGATACCCACTCGACGATATGGGGTTGTGGATATTATTACGCCAACACTACACGGTTCATTTTTAACTGTGTTATAATTGCTTTAATATACTAGTCACACATATTCATGTACAAAAGTTTACTTATATAAAACATAAATCTTAATAAATACGGAATGACCAATAACGGCCGCATTATCTTTATTAAGTGTTCACACTCATACCTTTTGCGCAGTTGATAAGCTCTGATTAATGGAAAGGAAATAGAGTGTTAAGGAGAATAAGCGCCAGTTGAACCTCCCGTGAGAATAAACATAGGCGCAACCCACGGATAGACATGACAGGCGAGGTTGTAAATCGATTGATGCTAGACAACCATCCCAATTTTATTAATTCCAAATTCCACTGACTGGTGATGGAAGCAGTTCGCCTGCCCAGAATCCGAGTATATATGTCGAAACCGGTCGGAAGAATCATCAATATTATCAATATTTTTACTTATATTTCATTTATATTGATTTAAAGCTACTGCAAATCGTTAAAGATAGACCGAAAAACCAGTTGGGTTACATTTTTCAGCTATTTTGTAATACATAAATCTAAATGAAGTACACAAATGTAACTATGATATATAGATATCATGGCCTTCAAAGGGCGAATTATATGATAGTGGTTCAATAAACAGCGGATGGGTATTATTAAAGTAGATAAGATAACAATTGTAGTTTCTAGTTTAATTAACCAGTCAAACTTATGAAGCATTTACCTTCTAAAAACAAATACGTCCTTATTTAGGGCCAAAGAGTCGTAACGCCCGTATCTAAACACTTTTTCTTGACGGAGATCGGCTAACGCCTGATAAACCTTCAAATGAGATCTTGCAGCGGCTTTTTGAACTTCCACATTCAAAGTCTCATAACCTTCTGCTACTGGTAGCCACGTCTTGTCGGCAGTTGAGAATCCTACAAATATATTTACATTCATAGCATAAAGTTTTATTTTTTACCCTTTCGAGTGGACTAAGGAAAATCACAAGCTCAAGGTAAGAACTAGAATGTTGTATAAATAGTTAAATTAAACTGCATCCCTTATTGAATTTTAGATCTCTTTGAAATGTAACATATTAATATAAATAATAATTAGATTCGGTTCACAATTGTCGAAGATATTGCATAACATATATATGTATAGCATAAAATATACTACATAACTTGTTGAGCTGAGAACCTCTTCTAGTTAGCTCCAGTCAGCAAAAAAAATATTCAAGAAGATAATTTGCATTTGCAATTGGTAAGAATAACAAAATTTAATGATGAAAGATCCAATCGCCTTAATACGAATAACATACCAGCATTTTTCTCTGCATTCCAGTGGAATGGCGTACGTTCCGGATCTCTAGAGCTTTTCATGTAGTTGATAGGGTCGTTTGTGTTACATCCAGACGGATCCACGGTATCTTCCCAGCTAACGTATCCGTCTAACATGCCAATTTCCTCGCCCTATAATTTATAAAGTGTCATAATTTATACTATTCTTTATACAAGTGGCTTTTTCTTAAAATATATTTCAAATCGTAAACCGTGTGCCTTTGTAAAGAGGCGTGGTTACTTTTGCTTTACGTTTGAGTCTACCACTGATTTTGTCAAATAGTTACATCAGATTTATATTATTCACTTTTTGCTTATTAAATTTATTTATATATATTATTAAGGGCTACCAACAGAGATTACAAAAATATTTACATAATTGTTATGTTCTGTAGTACTTAGATTTTTTCCATTAAAGCCTACAAGTGGCAATGGACCCGTCATTACCTTGAAGAACCGACAACCGATGGGCAAGAATGGTTCTCGAGTCGAGCCTCGCACTAGATGGAGTGACGACCTGGTAAGACATCAGGCCAGGAAAGTCGATTAATGCAGGTGACTCAAGAGTGTGATTTGTGGCATTCCTTGGGGGAGGCCTATGTTCAGCGGTGGACTTGTGATGGGATGTAATGATCATAATAATAATAATATTTTTTTTTAATCTGGAGGTAGCCGTGGTTAACTATGACATTGGGACGTCATACACCTCAGTCCCCCCCGTGACCATGGGTGCTGTAAAGTGCTTGAAACGTCGGGAATGTAAAATAAGTTAATATACGCGATAAAATCCGTAAAATTAGTTTCATTTAAATGTGTAGTGTTCGCGTAAATATAAGAAATCACTATTCGATATATTGTTTCGAGTAAATATCTAGTTCTTTATTGATTTTATTATAAATTTGAGCCGAACGACTATTGTATTGAGTACTAGCAAACTTAGTTTTAGATTGGGGCACTGTAGCTACATTATTTTTTCTTCTATTTCCTATTTTACTTGGATCGTAGGGTATATTTTTGTGTTTATGTAGTCTGATCTGTTTTATATACAGCTTCCTTACCGAAAGTAACCCACTAACGAGATATAGCCTTTCCGTGGGGTATCTAATATTTTTAAAGTACATAACTTTAATAAGCGCACGTTGTGCTCTCTCAACCTCTATAATCTTGGTTTTCGCCGCACCTACCCAAATATAATGATGATAATAATAAAAGCCTACAAAGGTGCATAGTTGAACTGCGTCTTTCTCCAATATATTGCTTTATAGGGAAGATTTTGCCATAGTTGCCACGCTTGGCAAACAGGTTGATAACCGCAGTTTTTATAATTTTTTGTTGCTATCAGGAAGAGGCCGGTGCCCACCTCCATTTTCAGTTTCCCTGTGTCGCTTCTTACATCACCCACGGGATGATATGTAGTATAGAATATTCTTACACCGCCACTACACGGTTGACGGTACTTAGATAAATGTTTCTTTAATATTAGGCAACCACAGGTTTAAAAAATACAATATAAAACGTATTAAAAACAAAATTATAGTTAATGACAATAATGGGATAAAATATGAAGTTATTTTGAAGGTACAACAGCAGAGCTCGAATTTATTTTCTGATTTGGAAAAAGAGTCTTTATTTTATATAGAATAAGGGTGACAAGCCAGCACAAAGTCCACCTGGTGATGAGTGGATACTGTGGCCTATAGACATCTACATCCATTCTCGGTTAAGATGATTTTCGAAATGCAGACGCGTTATCACACTTCAGGACTAAGATGGAATGCCAGTAAAACGGTTCTCCGGTTCTCTTCACTCACCATACCAAACACATCACCATTGAGCTGCTAGTTTACGCTGGTATTCTGTAAGAGCGTTGTCCTACCCCGTTCGAGCGGATCCATAACAGATATAACCATAATATCGCTGCAGCATGGCTCTACCACGTAAAAATGTTCCAGTATGTTTAATATTATAATATTATTTAATATATTTAAATATAAAACCTGTTGATGAGCATTTTTATACAATATTAGTGTAGCAAACGAGTAAATAGTGCACTTGGGGGATAACTGTATCCCATGGGTTGCAATCATGTATATTGACTGACTTAATGCTTCATACTGTACAGATAGTACCGGAATAGCAGTGGGTGCGTTGCAGCTTCAGCAGTATACTCCTCGTGTTCATTGAGCTAGCAGAACAAACTAATATCCTATTCTATACTTAGCTTCTCAGTTAGTAATAGTTCCGAGTAAAATATGCTTCAAATTTTTGTTAAGTCCCATAATTCTCGGTCTCTACTAGTCTAGTATCTACTACTCGTAGTAGTCTCGGAACTGTATTCTCCTTAGTTCGGTTACCACTAAAACTACCATTGCAGTTTCTTCACAACATCAGGCTTAGTTATAAAGTGATGATTGTTGCTAGAGATACCGCCACTCCATGCCGAGCGATGTGAAGCAACTTAATTTATTAGACAATTCATTAATACACAAGCAATTCACTTGAATAACTATCGCTATATATGGACGAGGTCTTTCTTGCGGCGGCGGTTTGTAGTGCTCTTATCATTATCATCATATTTTGTACAACCAACTTCAATATAACAACTTTGCGAGAAATGAGAATGTACCTCGAGGTACTGAACACATATGCGTACCCATATAGAGGGTACAGGCGTTATGTTATGTGATTGCGTAAACAATGCATAGATTTTGATAGCAGCAATCGCTGGCATTTATTAAAGAGTTCCATTGTCTGTCTCCAAAACTCATTATCAGATATTTACATAATTTTAATGTGACTATTTCGGAATAAAACTCTTTCGAACGAAAAAATAATTTTGCAAATCGATATATATATATATATATATATATATATATATATATATAGCGAAAATATGCCCAAAAATACATACATCCGAATTGAGGACCTCCTGCTTTTCGCCCGGTTAATTATTATTATCATGACCGTTTATCACAATCGTTCAAATGTTAGAATCTTGCTCCAGATTGAATCACTAATTGCTCCACAAAAACTCCAGCAACTATTGCCGAACAACTGCTGTTACGAATTAATGTATAACTGCACCTTTACTTTACCTACTACTTCTTATTGATGAGTGTTGGTTTTTGCATTTCAGTCGATTGTTACAAGACAATATATTTTTTTAATCTATAGTAACATGTTAAAAAATGACTCCACTCCCAAATAAAGTAATAATGTAAATAAAATTCAGATATTTCACTTACACGTATACAATTGTCTTCCTCGCACGACTTCCTTATGGAATCGATTACCATCAGCGATTTTTCCGGACCGATACGACTTAGGGACCTTCAAGAAAAGAGCCTACTCCTTTTTAAAAGGCCGGCAACGCATCTGCAATTCACCTGGTTCCCCTGGTGTTGCAGTTGTGCATGGGCGGCGGTAGTCACTTACCATCAGGTGAGCAGTATGCTCGTTTGCCCCCTCTCCTTTAAAAAAAAACATTGCATCACATTATTTTTCACTTACCATATAAGTTACGCCAACTCCAGGAAGCAACAAAACTATCATGTTAATTCCATCAACCAATGATGAACCGTATCGGGTTGCCATGCGACTGTTGTCATGATTGCCAACCTATGAGGAAAAAAGACGAAAGGTGAGTAAAATATAGTTCAATCTGTAAATGACAGAGAATCATTTGTATTTACCATAGTACTCACCACCCAGTTAGCTACTTTATCTACTGGCTTATAAGTCAAGAATTTGTCTACAGCTCGCTTAATATCAGCGGCTGATGAAGATCCATCTACGTCTGATATTAAATCAAAATTGAATGGCATTTGAGCTCCCTTCCTCTCGCCTTCACCAAAGTATTTTACAACGTTTTGAACAGTAGCATACACTTCGGTCATCATTACCCTAGCAAGTCCGTCTTTTGCTGCGAATTCATCAAATACGTCACGCCATTCATAAACCATGTAATAAGTTTCATTTTGATCTTTCGTGTAAATATGCGACAGATAGTCATGTGACCCTGGGTCGACATCAACTCTGCCTGACAACGGCTCGTCGGGGTACACTCCACCAAAAAGTTCTTTATTGACTTCAAACAAACAGTTTACTGCATCAACTCGGAAACCTGCTACACCTTTGTCCAGCCAGAATCGTATAATATTCTAAAAGATATGAATGGATTAGAGTTTTATCATAGTGAATAAACGTTATGAAATTGCTACTAATAATCAAGATATAAAATACAAAATAATACGACCGACCATTACGATAAAACCACATTTTTTTAATCTATGACAAACCTTCATTTCTTCAACAACGTCTGGATTGCGGTAGTTTAAATCAGGCTGTCCGATGACGAATTGATGCAGATAATATTTACCTACTTCTTCTCTATATTCCCAAGCACTTCCTCTGAAATGACTTACCTGTAAAACATTTGAGGTATATATTTTAAAAGGTTAGTTAATAATTGTTCTAAAAATTTTAGACGACAATATCTTCTATTATACTTAAATATGAGGGCACATAATGTAAATCCAATATAACACTTTTTAATAATTAATTAGTGCATTAAAACTTACCCAGTTGTTCGGGGGCTTCGAATTTCCATTCTCGTCAATTATTCCATCTTCCCAAATGAAATAGTTGTAATATTTTTCATTGCCTTTGAGGGCTTCTTGAAACCACACACTTTCATTGGAAGTATGGTTTGGTACCAAGTCTAATACTATCTTAATATCTGTAGAGAAAAATAATGTCATTATAATCTTAAAGTTTGTAATGTTTAATTTAATTTAATCGGTTTTATAAATTTTAACATCTTAGTTGTAGCTTTTGTTTTACTTAATCAATACTATGAAATATTTTTAGTTTAGATATGTTTATACCTAATTCTTTCGCTTTTTCAAGTAAGGCATCGAAATCTTCCATTGTGCCATATTCATCATGAACTGAGTAAAAATCAGAAATATCGTATCCAAAATCGTACATAGGTGATTGAAACATTGGTGAGAGCCATATTGCCCCAGCACCAATCTCTTTCACATATTCTAATTTTGAGGTTACACCTAAAAGAGATGATTAATAATTTAAAAATAAATTATGTCATTAATAAAATTTTATCATTATTTGATTTTAATAGTTATATATCATACCGTTTAGATCACCAATGCCATCCCCATCACTGTCAAAAAAAGAACGTGGGTATATTTGATAGAAAATTTCCGTTTCCCACCAATCTAGATCCTTTTCTTCGTTGTGTTTTATTACATTACCCCCACAAAAAAATATTAAAAATGGCAGTAAAATTACTGTCCTCATTGTGAAGACAATACAGTGGCAAGTTTGTTAATGTTTGCAGAATGTTAAATAACAATCTTATATAGAACTAAAAAAGTATCTTGACAGTGCTTTATCATTTATCAATAAGATTTGTCACATTGGTTTCCTTGATAAAACTTTTCCAGTAACAATCATGAAGAATGCATATTATGGACACTTGTTTAAAAATTGTAATTTTTTATCCAACCTTTATCCAACTTAGTATATTCTTACTTTATTACATGAAAAGCTATTATAGATAATTTTTACATAAATTTTAATATTTTGTTGTTTTACAACGTTTAAATGTAATATTACTATCTTAAAATTCTTTTCACACCTAGTTTTAAAGGCATTAAGTCCGCCGTTTACAATAAATTATAAATAAAAAAATGAAATGAATAAGATTTCACAAGTCTTTTGAGTCATCACTTTTAATTAAAATCTATTTAATTAAATAGATTCTGGTAGGTGCCATTAATTACGCAGTACGCGAGCGACCTGGGTTTGACCCCCGCCGGCACCAATGAAATTATTATTTAAAATTTTAAGTGCTAATTTACTACATACTCATCGGTGAAGGAAAACATCGTGCGGAAACCTGCATTTATGAGAATAAAAATAATAATAATTTCGAAAATACATATGTGAAGTCTTGTGTTTTTTTTTAATACATTACAGCCCTTCACGAGTCCACTACTGAACATTGGCCTTCTCCAAAGAATGCCACAAAACACGGTTCTGAGCCACCTGCATCCATTGACTTCCTGCATGTCTTACCTGGTCATCACCATCTGGCTGCCACTCGAGAACCTTTTTTCACCTTTTGCGCCTGTATGCAGTGTTCAAAAGGCGAAGAATACATTTCACGAGATCAAAACAGTTTTTTTTTGCATTTTTATTGCATTCCATAATGTTATGTAACAGCGGCTCCGTCCAACATTATTAACTTTTTTTAATAGCTATTTTTATTTTCATTCAGCCATCTACTTATTAGAGCCCTTCACGAGTCCGTTATTTCAAGTAATTTATTTGCATATACATATTTAAAATTGTCCGTAGAAAAAATATTTAACGATTACGTAAAAATATTATTATTAAAATTCGTTAAATTGAATGTAGTTTATATTGTTGTTATTGACTTCAATAAATTTACAAACAATCAACTTCCTTTAAGGAAATTCAAGTTTAAAATCAAAAAAAAAAATTCTCTTCCAAATTCAAACACAATTTTGTGTTCTTGTTATAACTATTAATAATTCTCAATGTTATTAAAATGTGTTACTGTCAAGTGAGTAGCATCCAAATTTTTTTACGAAATGGTTTCCGTTTTAGTTCAAATCTATACAAATAAATAAAATTGAAGTGTCTGTTTGTAATGTCAAAATACCCGATTTTTACTAAATGCATATGAAAGAATATACGGTGCTTATAACAAAAACACAATTTTTTAAATTTTTGTCTGTCTGTTCGTCTGTCTCTCTGTCTGTCTGTTTGTTCTGGCTAATCTCCGAAACGGCTGGACCGATTTCGACGGGACTTTCACTGGCAGATAGCTGATGTTATAAGGATTACTCCTAGCCTTACTCTTACTCTTATTCAGTTACCTGAATAAGAGTAGGCTACTTATATTTTAGAAAAAGAATTAGGGTTCCGCGCAACATAATTAAAACCCTAAATCACACGCGGGCGAAGTCGTAGGGGACAGCTAGTTAAATTATATATATAAAAATACGACGAAAAAAAAATCTGTCAAAATATTTCATACTGAACTGTTTGCTAAAACCTACAACCAAAGGAATACGTAGCGCACAGAATAATCGTTGTCTTCCATTAGGATCTCCTTATACTCGTGTGCTCGCCTTCCAATCAGTGGTCTCATTTCGTCTTACTCCAACATCAAACTGTTTCTTACTGAAACGCGTCACCCAATAATTATGCTAAACGTTGGCTGTATAAGACTGCTTAGTAGTTGCACTAATTGTGGGTGGATTTTCTTTGCTGTCCATCCGATCTGAACCAAAGTCGTTTAAAACCATCGGCTGATAGTCGTCTATAAAGTCTTGATCCAATATTAAAATAATTTAGATACAAATGCAGCAATAAACATAACAGACAATTACTTACGTGCATGCACTTCTACAAGTCCTAAAATGTACCTGCTTATAAAGCCACGTGTGACACGTTTGATGATGTGCACAATTTAATGACGTAACGCAATTTAATAGAGAAAATATGCTGACTACTTTTCTCATGGCAGACGGAATAGCGACCGCAGCTCTAGGCGTCTCGATTGTAGGCGAAGTTTATTGAAAGGAAGCAGTTGAATTTATTTTACGAAAGATTCGCCCGTCTGATAACCGACTTTTTTTAATTTTAAACAATAGGGATTTGTTGTAACGGAAGTTAAAAGAATGTTACAGGCCATAGATTTTCTAGTTTTTTTAAAATGCCTATTATTTTTAAAAATAAAAAAATTAATTTAATTTTCTTTTAATTTTTTTGATAATTATCATGACTGGCCTTTCATCCGTTTCCGGTTTGACGTCGATTTCTGGGAGAATCCGTATTTGGGATGGAATTTTCTGTCACGGTCGGAGTCTTGACCGACAATCAACAGGATGTTAATGCGCGCAGGTAACAACAGTACACATAAAGACTGACTGATAAAATGTTTATACAAACATGACATCGGCAGCTAACAAAGAGGTGCGTTATTTCCTTTTGAAGTATGTAAATACAAAGTTCACAAAAATTATGATACTATATCATGTGATATATTAGGCAGAAACTTTTTAGATAGTAATATAAATAATATATTTTAATTGCATTTGATTTAAAATATAATTATTTTGAAAACAAAGCCCTAAATATACTACTGTAATTCTCGTAAAAGGTAAACAGGTGGGCTACTATATCTATAATTAACAAATAGAAATCTTTGGGTGCAATCAAAATATTTAAAGGGTATAGAGCAGAAATAAAAAAATGAAGTTATGGTTAACATTAAAGTTGAAGAGTATATGAGATGATAAGAGATAATAGTCCACCTATGAAGGTATATGGATGTAAAGGAGGGGAGAGAGGTGTATTAGAATCGTATCTCTTATGTATTGGGACTATGAACGCTTTGCACCAGTCTCTCGGTATTTGCTTTAGTTTGCAACATAAATTAAATGAAGTATACAGCAGGTCTGCCACCATTTCTTCTTTAGCCTTTAGCATTTCGAGTCATGCTCTATACCCGGCTGCCTTACCTGTTTTATGTTTTTCATTGCTTCATTATTTCTTGTATGCTTATCTCACTATCTGTTCCCACATCTTTTGGAATTTCTAGTGCATTTGATTCAGACGTCTCCTCACTCATATACACGCTTTTAAAATATTTCTTTCACCTACCCCTTTTACTTCGAAATTTCGTCATTCAAAACAACGCTATTCTGGTCTCATTGTCTTATTCTGGTGGTTCTCGTGGGTTTCCAGAACGTTTTAATATTTGCCAGGAAGTTGTGAAGTATTTTAATATTATGCTTATCCGTTATTTCTTGCTTTTTCCTTTCAACTACTTCCTTCACTCCCTTATTTAGATGTCTAAAGACTGTCTTTTTTCTTTCAATCTCCTTTGCTACAAAAATTGCTTTTCAAAAATATCTCGACTGTAAGATAACGGATGATATGTTGAAGTATACGGTATAATTTTAGGACTAACTAGATCACGAGACTACACTTAAATTCCGGATAAGGGAATATTAATGTAAAATGGTTTCAATGCATAACGTAAAGGAGGGTAATACAATATATGCAGACTTTCATAAATCTTTAAAAAATTAATTAAAACGCTTTTTAAGATAAAAATCATCCACATCACTTAAAGATGCGACTACTACATCATTAACAAAATTTACTTATTTTATCATTAAAATGAAATCAGTAAAATTAATTTTATTCATCTACATCGGCCAGTCACATAATATATTACATACATATGCAATGACCTCTCCTCTATGCACATAAGCTTTAATTTTGGATGTCCTGTATATGTTATGTATATTTGTAGCTCAGATGGTTAGCGCTCGCTGTAGGTTTCACAGTACGCGAGCAACACGGGTTCTATTTCCGCCGGCAACAATTAAATTGTTAATTGCAACTTTAAGCTTTTGCACATGCTCGGCGGTGAAGGAAACCATCGTGAGGATACCTGCACGTCTGAGAAGTAAAAAAAAATTCTAAGACATATGAAGTTCACCAACACGCATTGGGGCAGCGCGGCAGATATTTCCTTGCCCTAAAACCAGTGCTCAGCAGCGGGATGTATACAGGCTGTAACTTTTAACTTTAACTTTATCGTAGGATATCCCAACGGTCTTAAGATGAAAATGGAGAAAACAAAGATCATGTTTAACGTACATGTCTAACTTATACCGGTAGTGTTGGGAGGACTACGCTCGAAGTTGTCAATGAGTATGTTTAACTAGGACGAGCTATGGAGAGGGCTATGATCGGGGTTTCTCTGCGTGATAAACTTAGAAATGGGAATATCCGCAGTAGAACCAGAGTGATCGACATAGCCCAACGGATTAGCAAGTTGAAGTGGCAATGGGGCGGTCATATAGCTCGAAGAGCCGACAATCGAGGAGGAAAAAAATGTTCTCGAGTGGCAGCCTCGTACTGGCAGGTGAAGTGTAGGGCAACCCCGATGCAGGTGGCTCAGGATGGTGCTCTGTAGCATTCCTTAGGGGAGGCCTATGTTCAGCAGTGGACTTGTGAAGGGCTGTAATGATGATGATGATGATAATATCTTAGGGTCTTCATTTTAGATTCTGCATTATTGAAATGTTTATTTTGTCTTCTGACAAATTTCGATACATGTTTTTTATGATTGTTATTTCCATAACTTTGCTTTTGAACTGCTGAATTAGTAACACCGCCATACATCAATACGTCATCTTGAGATATAATATAGAATAAAATTATTTTAGATAATAGAGAATGAAATTACT